TCCACCGAAGGCCCTAGTGGGTGTGCCCGCATGCGTCCCGCACACCCATTTCGGCACACCCCTCGTACGTTTCGTGGCCCCGTAGTGGGCTCCACCGAGAAGATATTCACAATTGCAGTATTCACGATTGCATATGGTTGGGTCCTTCGCCAGGATAATTCCCCGCTGTCCCGGGAAAACAACGAAACATGTGTTCACCAGGATCCCGTATGCACCAGAATGCGCGTTCCTGTGCGAATTTCGGCGCGGGGTCGGGAACAGCGTCGGTGTGTAGGGTTCGTTTCCCCACGATTGCCTCCACGCCGACGTCACCGATGCATCGCCCACGTCGGCGATGCATGGAATGTGCATCCCCCGATGCGTCGCCGATGTATCCGCGATGCGGCGCGATCCTCCGCCCCCATCTGCTCCGACCCCATCTGGGAGGCCTCGAATTCGGAGCACCTCGGGGAGCCTCGACGGCCGTCCGAAGCCCGCCCTCGCCCCCTCCTTCCGCTGGGCCCATATGGTCGGACCGAGCGTGCCTCAGATCCAGGTCGCTCGGGGGAAGGTGTCGTGATGCTCTTCGTGCTCGTGGGACATCCTCGTGCGTCCTGGGTGCGGGCTGAACTCGTGTCCATATCCGCTGCAGCTTGGAGTTTTGACTCCCTTCCCCAGAAAGCCGAGGCGCACTGGGTGTGTATCACAATCTGGCCCCTACTAGCCAGCGCGCCTCGGCCTTGCGGCGCCCCCTCCACGAGAGTCCAAGACGTCCTGGGCATGGATAGAAAGATCGCCCGCACTGGGGAAGGGTGTCCTCGAGTGATTCCACTGCTTTTGGGGTGCTCTGGCTGGCGGAGGGCTTCTTTCAGAAGCCTGGCGAAGGCTGGCAGATCCGTGGCTGCTAAAACGGAGCTCTGGGAGATTTGGTTTCTTTTCGGGGAAGCAGTCCGTTTACTATTTAGCGCGCTGAGGTTTATTCAGGGAATTTGTTTTTTTCTCTCGGGCCGGACGAACGGGGGGGATTGGGAAAGGGGGGGGTACGAAATCTGCTGCGTGCAGCTGGTTTCGGTTCCACCGAGGGGCCCACTCCTCGATACACAGCCGCCTCCGGCGCCAGGAGGCGCCGGGAAAAATCAGCTACGTGAGCTGATTCTCAGACCCCCCCCGTTTGCTGTCCCCCCCCTTCCGCCCGGCCCGATCTTCTCCTTCGGAAAGACCGTGAGCGATTCCACCCCCCCCCCCCGAATCCACCAGCCCCGATATTCTCCTTCCGGGAAGACCGTGTTGGCAGCCACGGGCTTGCCAGCCCTCGCCCCTTGGCATCGCTCGGACGTGTGCATTTTTCTTTCGGCGAGGACCATCGAGGAGCATCCTTGACCATTCGGGGAAAAACCACGCACGAAACCGAAAAAAACACAGGGAATGGACGTCTAAGCGATGGCCCTCGCCCAGCTTCCGGTCCCTGCTCTTGAGAGGGATGCGCTGCCGCCTCGGGTCCGGCCGTGCCGGGCCCCGCGCCCCCGCCAGCCTCCGGAGCCGCGGCGGCCAGGGCGCGGCACGGCCGGTGGCGCGGCACCCCTCGACACGAACCAACAGCACCAGTGATCGGAGACGGGCCGTCCGTCCTCTCGAGGTGCAGCTCCTTCTACGGTGTGCCGTATGCAGCGCCACCGACTGGCGCGAAACGCTTTCGTGACGAACCAACAACACACACCCATACCCATAGGGGGGTCGGAAAGGGCTATGGGTGCGTGTTGTCGGATGGGGGTCCCCGCTCGAACGGGAGCGTTCCCCAGGGCCCGACAACCCGCACCCATACCCACAGCCAGTCCTCCTCCCAACGACCTCCCTATGGGTATGGGTGTGTGTTGTTCGTTCATCATCTCGGGCGTGCTCGGCCCACGGTCGGCGAGTGGCAGACAGCGGCATAGCTAACATGAAGTCGGGCCTGTCCCCCTACAGGGGGATTTGTGGACGAAGAATGCAACATGGTCAAAAGATGCCCCCCCAAATGCTGAAACATAGTAAAAAATAGCCCCCCCGACTATTTTTTGATTATGTTTTGACCATTTGGGAGTATTTGTTTGAGTATTTTCTATTCTTCGTCGAAAATCCCCCTGTAGGGGGACAGGCCCGACTTAAAACTAACATGTTGTGATATTTTTTTTTTCTCGTTGTTTTGCCGATTGGCGCGGGCCCCCCCCCCCCCCTCCCCTCCTCCCCCCATGGACTAGATCTTGGCAGCTTTTTGGCGCCAGTTTCGAGCGGGTGGAGTCTCCTCCAGAGGCAGCACTCCTGCAGGCAGTCGCGCTAAGCCGAGGTCTGGAGCCAGGCGCCCCCCCCCTTCCCCCCGCGTCCTCCCAATGTCGAAACGCCGAATCAAAAGAACGCTCGCAACCTACAGGGCAGTTTGTAATATATGCTCCGCGTGCGGATCATGTATTACGAATGCAGGGATTCAGCATGAAAAAGCAACGAGGAGTTCATGCATCCATGTATTCATACATTAATCATGTATTAACAATCAAATGCTTTTCAACATCCTATGTATCAAAAACTGCCCCGTAGGCCTTCTGGATGGGGTCGGAGTAGAGGCGGTCGGCAGATCGCGCCGCACCGCCGATGCACCGCCGGCGCGGCTCGACGTGGAGCCAGGCTTGCTTCCCGTCGACGTCGCCGGTGCATCGCCAATGGTCGACGATGCAGCGACGGTGCATCGCCGATACATACTCCAGATTTCGTAATAAAAGGGAGGGGGTCTCAACCCTCCCAGACGAGAAGTTTTAGACCCCCCCCGTGGGAGAACCCTCCAAAACATCGTCCCCAGACCCCCCCAGGCTCCCCAAGATAGCCTGGAAGAGACCCCCCCCGAAATGAGACCCCCCTCCCTTTATTACGAAATCTGGAGTATATTCGATGCATCGCCGATGTATCGGCGATGCGGCGCGATCCTCCGACCCCACTGCTCCGACCCCATTGAGGAGGTCTCTAGGGAACCCATGCCGATAGACGCCCTGCTTGCCTCCAGGGTGCCCTGGGTCCCTGGGGTTTCGATGGTTTTGCTATGGAAAGCGTGACGCTCCCACACCAAGAATCAATGGTCTCAGGGTTCGGCTTCTTGTGGAAGTTTTCTCGTGGTCGGGTTCCTACTGTAAGCATTCGCTTTGGGAGGTCCGCGCGGATCTCTTGCATCAGCGCTGGGCCCCCCTGGCGGCGCCTCCGGCGCATCTCCTGGCGGGCCCCGCGCGCCCGGCAGGGTGGGTGGGTCCAGCGCCGATTCAATACACCCTCTTCGCCTCTTCGCTGGCTCTTTTTTCACCCTGAGCCCTCTCCCCCTCCCAGTTTTGTCCCACCCTGGGCCTTCTTCCGAGCGGCGTTCAGCCGTGGGCAACGAGACCCTCCGGAAACGAGAACAAAGCGGAAACGACGACGTTGTCGTCGTCGTCATCGTCGTCGTCTACGTCTTACGGTGGCGCACTGCTCTGCTTCGCAGTCCTGTGGTGCACGCTGCATGGGCCAGCTGGAAATATGCTCCCGAGGGACCGTCTTTTCGTCTTTGTCGTGATGGTCGTTGTGATCGTCGCCCTCGTCCTCGTCCTCGTCCTCGTCCTCGTCGTCGTTGTCGTTGTCGTTGTCCTCGTTCTCGTCGTCGTCGTCGTCGTCGTCGTCGTCGTTGTCCTCGTCCTCGTCGTGCTCGTCGTCGTCGTCGTCGTCGTCGTCGTCCTTGTCGTCCTTGTCGTCCTTGTCGTCCTTGTCGTCCTTGTCGTCCTTGTCGTCCTTGTCGTCGTCGTCGTCGCCGTCGCTGTCGTCGTGGTAGACGGGCGCCCGTCACCGCGGCCGCGGCGGCCTGCTGTGGAGTCTGTCGCCGCCCCCGCCCCTGCCCCCCTTGGCCTTGCCTCTGGTATCCTCCGCGTCCGCTGCTCATCCCTCCCCAGGAGGTCGAGATCCCGTTTTGATCGTCTTGTCTTCGCGTCCCCGCGTCCTCGGCCTTCCGGAGACCACGCCGACGATCTGTGGCGCCGTAGTCTGCTCTGGCTCAGGAGCACCGTCTGCATGGCATCCGACCGCGAGTTGCCATGCGACCGCCCTGCTTGTAGTCCAGATTACGTAATAAAAGGGAGGGGGTCTCAACCCTCCCAGACGAGAAGTTTTAGACCCCCCCCGTGGGAGAACCCTCCAAAACATCGTCCCCAGACCCCCCCAGGCTCCCCAAGATAGCCTGGAAGAGACCCCCCCCCGAAATGAGACCCCCCTCCCTTTATTACGAAATCTGGAGCAGCCATGCTCACAGTGCGCTCTGGGCTGCTCCTCGCGGCCGGTGCTGCCGCCGCGGACGTCACGGTGCCGACCACGACCGGCCCAGTGATCGGAGACGGGCCGTCCGTCCTCTCGAGGTGCAGCTCCTTCTACGGTGTGCCGTATGCAGCGCCACCGACTGGCGCGAAACGCTTTCGTGACGAACCAACAACACACACACCCATACCCATAGGGGGGTCGGAAAGGGCTATGGGTGCGTGTTGTCGGATGGGGGTCCCCGCTCGAACGGGAGCGTTCCCCAGGGCCCGACAACCCGCACCCATACCCACAGCCAGTCCTCCTCCCAACGACCTCCCTATGGGTATGGGTGCGTGTGTTGTTCGTTCGTCACTTTCGCCCGCCGCAGCCCCACCCCGGCTGGACCGAGCCGAGGCCCGCCCGGCGCGCGGGCCGCAGCTGCCTGCAGGGCTTCGGGGACGGCTTCGTCCCGCTCCCCGCCTGGGCGGAGCGCCTGGCGGAGCGCGCCCATCTCGGGATGGAGCCGATGGGCGAGGACTGCCTCTACCTGAACGTGTTCTCGCCCGACGTGGAGTCGACAGGACTTCCCGCGATTCGAGGAAGGAATCATGGCACAAGTATGAACTTTCTGGAGGCCCGCTCGCATTTGTTGGATCGGCGCTGGGCTTTCCCGTCGGACCCTCGGGCGCCGTCCCTGTCGCGCTCGCGCTCCCGAGAGAGTGGTCCAGCGACGGTTAAGGAATTCGACGCGGACCTCCGAACATTTATGTTTGTGCAGTGTGTTCTCTTCGTCTCGCCATGGTGTTTTTCCACGGCGGCAGCTACCTTGGAGGTTCTGGCGAGTTGCAGTCAGGGTATCCTCTTTACGACGGTCACATACTCTGTTCCGAGGGTGAAGTTGTGGTGGTTACCGTGAACTACCGCTTGGGTTTTTTCGGATTCTATGCTTCTGACGAGTTGCTTCAGGAGGAGGGCACCACAGGGAACATGGGCATCCAGGATCAGCGACAGGCCTTGGAGTGGGTTCGTGACAACATTGTGCATTTTGGCGGTGACCCAGCCAGGGTAACAATTTTTGGCGAGTCCGCAGGAGCGCATTCGGTGCTCTCTCATATCTAACGGCCTTCGGCCCATCCCGCCACTGTGCCTGGGTTGTGGGTCAGAGTCCTCAGGGATGCTTCTTGGGGTCTCTTCGGAGCGCTCTCGGGGTCCTCTGGGGGGAAGTCGTGGAGCCTCTTGGGAGCCCTTGGAGTGCCTCTTGGGAGCCTCTTGGGGGCCTGTTGGGGCTTCATATGTGCCCCTTGGGACCTCTTGGGGCTTCTTGAGGGCCTTGCGAGTCTCTTGGGCTTTTCTGGGGACCTCTCGGGGCCGAGGGCTCGAAACTGATCATTCGGGTCCCCCGTCTGTTGTGCCCTTTTGGAGCTGTCTTGGGGGCCTCTAGGGCCGTCGTGGAGGCCTGTTGGGCTGTCTTTTGGACCTCTTGGGCAGTTTTGGAGCCCTCTTGGAGGCCTCTTCGGCTGTCTTGGGGCGAACTTCGGGGCCTCTTGGGCCGTCTCGGAGCGTCGGGCAGCCGAAAGGGCGAGAACGCCAGAACCATGCAAACCTATTGCAAATCCATGATCTTTGCTTCTCGGGGCCCTCTTGGGAGTGCTCCGGAAGGCTTCTTGGGGCGTCTTGTAGGCCGCCTCGAGGCCATCTGGGGCGCCGTGGAGCGATCCTTCGGCGATGCTGTGCCCTCCTGGGCCGCCTGGGCGGCCTCCTGGGGCTATCTTGGCCAGTTGGGGGGGCCCTCCCGAGCGAGGGGACCGTCCGGGAGGCCCACGCGACACACCCGCCCAGGACCGCCCAGGACACTGGTGGTCTGGGCCCTTGAGAGCCTTACAATCAGGAGGGGAGCAAAAACACACAGACACGATTAATCGTCGATTCCCCAGGAAATGTAGGAAATGATGGGAATTGGGCGGGAAGACACAGCACCCAGAACATGTGGGAAAATATGGGGAATCCTTTTATTTTATGTGTGTGTGTTTATTTGTGTGTCCTTGGGCTCCTTGATACAAACCCTCTGCCTCCCAGGGCTGCACGAGTCTTGGTGCACAGCACTTCGTGCCAGAGGCACGGTGGCGGATCACCTCAGCGCGGTCCGCACCACTTTTCTCTGCCGCTATCATGCAAAGCGGTGGCTTCTGGCCCGAATCGCTGTATCAAGCATACGCTGAGAGCAGGTCTGTGACACAGGCAGCCCAATGCGACGACCTTCAGTGCCTCCGCCGCGTGGATGCTTTCGATCTGTTGCACGCGCAGCTGAAGGTGAATTTCATGGCCAGCCCTGTGGCGGATGGATTCGAGCGCCCCCTCGGAGTGAGTCTCAGGGACATCGTTGAGAGTGGCAAATTCACCGCCAAGCCCATGATCGTGGGCACCAACCTCAACGAGTCCACGCCTTGGGACTGCGCTGACGTGCCGCAGCTGGACGAGAGTGCCTTTCGCCGACGACTCCAGGCGATGATGGTCTCACAGGTTGGGATTCCAACTGATGCGGAGATTGATGAGCTGACCAACCTCTACAACGACTCGCTATACGATGACGGCCATCGCGATACGTGGCCTTGGAAGCGTGCGCTTATCGATGTAGACACCGATATCACCATGTTCTGCGATAGCCGCACTATTCTGGATGCCGTGTATCAGCAAAACCAGCCGTCCTACGCTTATGTGTTGGATAGGACCATTTGGTTCTTTGAGTCAGCCCCTTGCTTGGGAACCCCACACACAACTGATCTATTCTTGCTCTGGCAGAACTTTCCTTTCATGACCGGCGCCGAGAGACACCTGGGCGCCCGGATGGCCAAATACTGGAGTTCTTTCGCTTGGAACCACACTCCTGGTGACGCGTGGCCCAAGTTTGAGTCTCAGCGGGGCTACCTCCGTCTGGATGCGCCTGTGGACCGACGCGATGAGCAGGTGAAGAAGGCGAATTGCGATCTGTTTGATCGGATCCGTGCAAGACGCACGAGGGCCATAATCATTTGAGATCAAGGTTGTCCCAGGGGGCGCTGTGTGCGTTGGTAGCGTTGCTCTGTGTCTGAGTGACGTGGCATGTGTGGTATTACTTGAGGTCGGTTCGGCTTCTACGGCGCAGTTGTTGCGTCTGTGCAACACTTGGTGCAGGGAGTCACTTGCACCCTGAGAGCCAACAAAATGCTAGCCATGATGGGAAGGAGCTCAGGGATTGTACGTATTCACGGAGCCTGGCCAGTCGGACCCTTCTTCCTGCTTCTCTTGTTCCCATCCATCCTGTGGTGTTGGGTCTCTGTGTTGGAGAGACAGCGCCCCGCGTTCATCATTCACTCCCTCCTCCTCCTCCTCCTTCTTATCCTCCCGCCCCTCCTTCCTTCTGCTCTCCACACCAGTCCACCATTTCGGATCACCCCTCACACGTTTCGTGGCCCTTCAGGGAGCTTCACCGAAGGCCCGAGTGGCAGGGTTCGCATGCGGCTTCCCGCCTACCACATGTCCACTTCGGCACAGTCTTCACACGTTTCGTGGCCCCATAGGGAGCTCCAGCGAAGGCCCCAGTGGCAGGGCTTACATTCGGTTCCCCGCCCACAGCACGTCCATTTCGGCACATCCCTCACACGCATCCTGGGAGCCCCACCGAGGGCCCCAGCGGCAGGGTTCGCATGCGCACTCCCCGCCCGCCGCATGTCGGTCTCGGCACACCCTTAACACGTTCCGCGTCCCCGTTGGGAATTTTCGCCGAGGACCCTACAATCAACCATGATAGTAAGGATGGGGCAGCTTTCCAAGGCTACCCTTACACCCTTGCCCCTTCGGTATTCGGCATCCTTCGGCATTCTGCCGCGCTCCGCACAGAACACGTCAACATGGCGTTCCAAGGCTTACCGCGCATCCTTGCTATCCTTGCTCGAGTGCAGTGGCAGTCTTCGCATGCGGCTCCCCGCCCACCACAGAGCCATTTCGGCACTCTCCTCCTCCTCCTCCTCCCCCTCCTCCTCGTCCTCCTCCTCTTCCTCCTCCTCCTCCTCCTCCTCCTCCTCCTCCTCTTCCTCCTCCTCCTCCTCCTCCTCCTCCCCCCTCCTCACACGTTTCGTGGCCCCCACGGGGAGCTCCACCCAATGGCGCGCCGTCCACGCGCCCCGCGCGGCCCCACAGAGGCTCGCCGGGACCCCTCCTGCGCCCTGCGCCTCCAGGAGCTGCCCGACGCCTGCCGGCTCTGCCCGGCGCTTGGCCCGCTGTCGGCCACCTTTTTGTTCCCAACCACCCTGCGGTGTTGGGTCCTCGTTCTGGAGAGGCGGTGCCCCGCGTCTCCTCCCTCCTTCCTTCCTTCGCCCTCCCCCCCTCCTCCCCCCCCTCCTCCCCCCCCTGCTTCCTCCTTTTTCTGTTGCTCCGCGCCGCGGACCATCCGCGAGCGTCGCCGGGTTCCTCCGGGGCGACGGGCGCTCGTCGCGGTGACTCCGCCAAGGCGCGGTGCCGAAAGCCGCGGTCACCGGGGCGCAAGGATTAAGTCGGGCCTGTCCCTCTACAGGAGGAATACTCAAAAATAGTCAAGAAATAGTCTGGGGACTATTTTTTGAGTATTTTCTGAATATTTGGGGGTGTTTTTTGACTATTTTTCATTCGTCCAAAATCCTCCTGTAGGGTGACAGGCCCGACTTAACGCAAGGACCAGCAGGGGAGAATGATGCATACAAAGCGGCGGGGCCCCGGTCACCGCGGGCCAGGCGGGCAGGGACGCCACGCCGAACCCCTGGAAAGCAGG